TTCAAAGAAATATGAAATAGAATGTATAGAAAAAGGGATAGAAGTGACACATGAGATAACCAGTCAGGAAATAGATGCTTTGTCTTTGACGTGATTAAACTTAATGAAGAAAAATTTTTGTCTTCAAGAGATAATCTCAAAGAAAGATAAGGAAATAAAAGATCTCTCTAATCCTTCACCCCGCCTATGAACGATTCAACGCAAAAGCTACTAGCTTGATTCAATGACGATTTAAGACTTCTCGTCCATGAGTATGGTTTTGAAGATAAAGTTATGGAACTCGATAAAAGTTTTTCTAGAAAAAATATATTAGAGGTTTTGCAAGAGCTATTACCCTGGAATGAGATAGTTTCGAAAAGCCAGACAGATATTCTACCCAATCAATCTATTCATAGTCAATCAGCAAATTCTGAAAACTTTATTTTGAGAGAAGGGTTGTGAAGCAATTAGGTGATGCAGAAGTAGTGCCATCACCTCAAGTAATATCTCTAGCGGGTTTCTCTAGAATTGCATCAGTTATCCCTACCGTTGAAAATTCCTTAATGTCATATGTCATACTTACTTTATTTCTTTTTGCAGTTATATGGATCATTGGGAAAAAAATTTGGGATTTGTAAAATACGAACCCAAAAGAAAAAAATATAAATAAAAAATATAGGCTAGACATTTATTATCTCAAATTCTAATCGATTATCGTATAAGTACTGGCGCAAATGAGACTTCTCTGAATCTTCTTTAGATGTGAGCCAATAGCTTTTCTAATAAATCTTCGGGCAGATTTATTAAGGAATTTTCAGCTCAGGTTACTGTATATGCTAATAACCAACCAATATGAATTAGGTTATCTCCTTTACCATTATGCCTATGCTGTAGTAAAAATCGATAGTCATTTATTATAACATTTTCCATCTCCTCCTGTTCTAATATTATTTTATGAAATAACTGCCTATCCTCTTCTGTGATCGGGAGATGAATTTTGTTAGGTTTAAAGCCTATGTATTGAAAAACTTAGTTGTGTAGTTTAGCTATTATACCAATAAAGCTTATCTTTAAAATATGTAGATTTTTTCAACTAATCATATCCTTGGAATACAGTTTTGTCAAATTATTATTTGTGAAAATACTAATGGTCATCTCCAGACATATCTGAAGTCAGGATGTGTGATCAAAGGCTGAAGAGATGTTTGCCTTGCAAATCCAGATCGAATATAGGAATTGAAGTTAGCCGGTATTATTGCACGAGAAAAAATATATAAATAATATTATGCGAAGTGTCTTATGATTAAGTACTTAGTTAAAATTGTCATACCTTCACTAGAATACTTAATAATATTATCTATTTAAGTACTTTGCTAATGCCTCTGGCCCAGTTATATCCTCAAGATGAAAATACTATAAATTACCAATGTCATCTAGTGTCTCAATTTCTGATATGTGAGGTAAGACAGGTAGGTTGACAATTATCTCATTTTTTCGCATAGATGAAACTGGGCTGATTTCTTCTGGAATTGATACATGCTCTTTATAATGCATATGATAGACCAATTTATGAAAGAATAAATTATACTCTTCAATACACTTTGTAAGCTCACTAGGATATCGAGTAAAATCAGAGCATATTTTTTTCTTTATTTCATCATCTACCGATAGGTTTTTATCTTTTGAAATTTTTCTAGCGCATTTCATGAATCTCCTCCATAATATTTTGATAGAATTACTTTCTATAAAAATCTCATAGCTAAGCCATTTACCATGAAATATTTTGTATAAACTTTCTATCTTTTGATATAATATTTCTTGCGTTTTTTTAATCACATTCTGTAAGCATGCTTATAAACAATCCCACGGGATCCTATCATCTTGAAAGTAACACCATTGACTATGATATTCTCCTTCATGAAACTCTCAAGCTATAATTTGGCCTTTTTTGTGCATAATCATCTATTTGTTTATATTTCTCATCCAGATCCTTGATTTGCATTATCTTATCTGAGAGAGCTAGCTTGTACTTCTTATCATACATGATAAATCAAGCACAGAGGCTAATAATAGTTTTTCAAAATAATGATATAAATCTAGCTCCTTACCCAATTCCTTCGTCACATCAACGAATTCTATTCTTTTGTCTTTCATTAGCGTTAATTTTCTACCATGTAAATTAAAGGTCATGTCAGGATGGGTTACTACATAACTAAAGTGCTCACCTGGCATTAGAATTTTACTCTCATGTTCTTCCTCATTTATCCTATAAATCGCTGAACACTTTGGTTATTTACATTAGGTTTTCATACGTTAGTCTCTATAAACTGTTCAAAATTCCATTATTTAGTATTAACTAAAGCTATCATGGAGTGATCAGTTATTGTTAATATCCATAGCTTCCCACATAATCTGATCCCCTATAGTTTTGAAAACTTGGGATTTACCCTGCTTCATAATGTCGATTCCTCTTATAAAAAACTCTTTAGGTTTGAAGTTTGGGATATCTTCATGGGGGATACCAAAATACTTTTTCTTTCCAATGAATACTACTGGAAATAGTACTTCTTCATAAGCTATTTTGAGATAATTTGATCTAGTTTTTAACCTAAGAAAGTTGTTTACTTCATTGCATAATTTTTCTATTATTCCCATAGTAATTTTGACTATTTTAGTTCAGTACTCTTGTTTTAAGATTACACCTTTCCTAATATCGTAAGATAGATCACATTTCTCATAATACGAATTTGGACAAGTAAAATATAGGAAATCGGTATCACTATATTTTATCCTAAAACTTTTTTTTTTCACAAATTCTGCAATGAGTTTGATATTTTTCGCTCAGCTGAAGTAACATATGTGGATTTCTTTAATGATACAAGATTGTAAAATGGTACTCAGAGGGATCCAGTGATGTTGGTTTATAATTCTTTCAAAGGCCATTTGGAAGAATCTGTTAAAAAAATATTTCAGAATAATGGGTTTGATTTAGTAGTAATTCCAGGTGGTCTAACTAACGTTTGTCAACCGCTCAACATTTCAATAAATAAGCTTTTTAAAGACAATCTTCGCAAGGAATGGCATATATGAATAGCAAATGGTGATGCTAGAGAAACTGCTTTGGGAAATCTTCGTCATGTTAGAATTAGCAATATATATTTATATGTCAAGCGTTCCTAAGAGGTAATCTCAGATGAAATTATCTTTGAATCTTTTAAGATTTGTGAGATATTAACGGATTTAAATGAATCAGATTCTGATTTAGAAATTAGTGATGATAATGATAGTAATAGCATTAATGATGATAATGCTGATAATAATGCTGACGATAATGTTGATGATGGTGATGATAGTATTGATAATGGTGATAGTATTGATGATTCTAATTAATTTTAATAATAGGATTATATTAAATGATTTTTGTTAAGCAACTATTCATTAAATAAAAAAATGCATTGATTTGAATTGTTTTTATTATGTAAGTATTTTTTTTATAACATTACATTTTGTTTTGATGTAAAATTTGAGATGTTGCTTATTTTCGGGTACTAAGTAATTTGGGGGTTGCTTATTTTCGGAAGATTACGGTAGTAATCATATGATCTGTAATGTGATTTGCTGCATTTTGTTAATGTTTTTGCTACGTTCGTTTTTTTCTCTCCCATAATTAAGAAAATAAAAAGATATTTTCTCTATCATTTTTGATCACGAATTTCCTAGTCCTTATCCAGCGTTCTTTCTTTATTGACATACCAACTTAATTGAAAAAAATAAGTAAGTCGTGTATAAGTAGCATTATTTATTGCCTTCTTACAATTATAGACTTGGGAATCTACAATGTCAGAAAATCCATAAATACGTCCAATATATTAAGGATTTTCAGAGAATTATAGCAAATATGTTTATTGACTAGTGTTATTTCTTCACGTTGATGAATGCAGTTTATTTTATTCTTCTACAGTCTTAATTTTATGCGCTACACTTTATTAATCATCTTAAGAACTAAGCGCATCATTTTCGAAGAACAACCGAAAGCTATAAAGAGAATGTCGGATCGCTGATTTAGAAAATAATGAAATATGTCGAATCACTACGGAACTTTAGGAAAAAATGAAGATTGCAAATAAATTTGAAATCTGCAACGGGCCATGTTATTGATGTCGTTTTTCAGCGATCGAAAAATTATGATAGGTACATGTGCATTAAATTTTAAAATCGAATTAAAAAGGTGTGTAATTATGGAATTGTAAACATAGAAACACCCAAACTGGACTTTTGGCAATCCACTATCTTTGAATCACATATGTTAATTATCCGATGCTTATCTGCTAGTGGATCTGGGTACTCCTTGTCCTGATGGTATAGGGAAAAAAAAGGGACCAATGACGAACAGGCAAATGCCCATTTCGTGAAGATAAGTTGTATAACTTTACGGGTCGTTATAGAAATAGCCAGAGATGCAAACACACTTTTTACCTGATTTGATGCGACCGGTTTTTTCGTTCTTTTTAAGGTGGGTATATTTTTGTTCTGCTCTGTCACCTTAAGGAATCCGTGTAGTTATAAGATTATTATTAACAAACTTGCGTTGATTCAAAAGCCGGCATTATGAAAACCTTGAATGATATCAAAGCCAGCATTCCGCAACAATTCGGATCTCGTCAATTTCTTATCATGTCAAAAAATCCTGTTTTTCAAGACCTTTTTTGATGCAAAACAACTAATAGAAGTAATACTTTTTTTTTTTTTTTTTTTTTTGCGATTTTCTACATCTAGTAATCGTTGGAGTCGCAATTGATGAGTCGATCCCGTGACAGAACCAGATCTTGATAAATTAAAAGAAAATCAAATTTATTTACAATACTGGTTGGTATTAACGAATTACTTTAGTTCTGGTAAACTCATCGGACATTTCTACCAAGGTGATATTTGATTTCGGCTAAAATGACTGATAATTTTATATATTTCAAAAAAAAATGTCAATTAAAGATTTGTTAAATATAATCATAAAATTATGATTGCTAATTTAAAGTTAACGTTTCCACGGTACCACTATCTACATCTAATATTATGTAGGATAACAATTACAATCGGGACAGTTGAGACATAGTTGGGACATCATAAGGATGGGACGGAACAATCCAGACACAGAAAAATGTGTAAGCTGCACTGCTCCTGTAGTGTCGTTGTTCTTCCGAACATAGGTTAATTTTTATATTATTGATTTCGACTTGGCAACTTCCCTGACTCAAGTATTGAACATTCGATGTGTATATGAGCGCGGGTACGTTGGACGTTTCATCCATTATCGACATCTAATATATATAACTCTTTACCTCTCATCTCGGAATTGGTTGGCGTTTATAATATTGAATCTTGTAATTATTTAATAGCCAAAAAGAATCGTTATTTAATGCTATAAATACTTTTCAAAATAAATTTTTTGTTTTTAGTTAAATGTAATGATAGGAACATTTCATTACAACTATGTTTATATTTTACTTACTAGTAAACTAGTTTTTATTATTATTCATGCTTTTAAAATAATTTTAAATAATTAGTTTTAAGCCTTATACATTTCTGCGCCACATTCACTCGATGAGTCACGTGAAGGAACCATGAGCCACATCCAAAATATTCTATTAACTTCAATTGTGATATTTTAGAAAGAAGATTAATGCTAAATGCCATTAAAGTCTTTATTTTTTTTTACTTTTTGACAACAAGGACAAGCATAAAGAATAAGCATCAAAAACAAAAAAGTAAACATTTAAACCATATTGATAAATAGTTAATTTATTTTAGGTTTATGAAATGGTTATTATAGTATAATATAAACCTTAAAACGAAAAAAAGGATTTATTTAATTTATTTAGTATTTAATTAGTACATCCGGAGAACCCGGAAGCAATACGGTATATATTATTTTTAAGGTTTTTTTTTTGAATTAGTCTAGGGTGCAGGAAAAAAAAAATTCTTTTTAGTTAAATAAAATGTTTTGATCGATAGCATATATTAAAATACTAATTTGTAGTTATTGTGAGTATTCGTGAGAAAAAATAATAGCTTTAAATACTTGATTGTTATAATTCCAAGTTTATGATTGATTGCTAAAGGGGAATACTGTGGACCACAAATATTTGCAGATATTCTACCCTTCTGTGGGGTAAATTAATTCAACAAATGAAAAACATTATTACAACGCGATATTTTTTGACAACTATCTGTAATGGAAAACAAAAAAAAAAAAAAAATTTTTTGCATGATGATAATATAAATACACCAAACAAAAAGAAAAACTTCTAAATGTTACATTATTGACATTTCATCTTTGCAGTTTTTCTAATGTGGGGCGGGAATTTATGCAGATAACACACAATCACCATTCAAATATAGACATCTCTTTTTTGATAGACCCGAGAAAAATGTGGGGGCGTGGGGTAATAATGAAATATTTAGTAAACAAGTTTTTTTTTTTTTCTTTCGCCTCTTTCTAAATATAATTAGTATTTTAATTTAAACAAATTGGATACCTTACCGCTATTTTAATGAACTTTATAAGTCAGAATAGAGATATGAGGGATTGTTTCATATAATCCGTCTATGCAAAGTCATTTACAAAAAATTACGCCGCAGATTTTAAAGTTTTCCGGTAAACATTTAATAATGGCTCGAACTGGATTGGTGAGACAAGCAAAGTTTGTTTGTGTAACTCTGATTAAGAACAATGTATATTATATTGTTCAATGTATAAAACGTTGGTATTCTTTTATTGTTCTTACATTGAATGGTCTCGATTCGCTCATTAAAACGATTGGGAACTGAAACAAAATGTTGTGATATGGTATTTATTTATTTATTTATTGTTGTTTGTAATAGACGAAAATGTTTGTTTATAATTTTTGCTGTAACGTCCGAGTGCTGTCAATTCTGAACTTTTTTTTCTTTTTTTTATTCCTCATTGAAACAAAGTATCGTCTAACTTTGAATCATCATGTCATGTCAATAAGATTGATTTAAGGTTTCAAGTCCGAATTCAACATAATACGAAAATAATTTGTCTTTGTTTCCTTTTTTTTTTTTTTTTTTTTTTTGCAATCTTACAGCTTCGATAAACCCAAAAGAAGGTTGCAGATACCTTTCCCAAAAAAAAAAAACTTTCCAAAATGAAGCAGGAAAACCAACGTAACGACGCACATTCAACATAAGTCATACAAATAAACATCGTTATCTTTTTTTGACAAATCTGGAAATTATTGTTTTTTAAGGTTTCAGATTTTTTTGTTTTTAAATACTGTATGTATGGTAAATTCTGTCATCACAATCCTGTGATTTCGCGATTATATATATATAGAATGAAAAAATTAAAAAATCACAATTGTGATGTCGCGATTTTTTTTTTTTTTGGAGACGCGTTCAGAAAAATTTCTTTTACTTTACAACAATACGTCCATGACTGAGTGACTTTTTTTTTTTTTTAAAAAAAAAAGGAAAAAATCAATGAGCATATGATATTTGTTAAAGATGTGCAAACGTACAATGAATGATGGATAGCATGAACAATGAATGAATGAATGCATCGAAAAAAAAAAACATTCCCCAAAATTTCAAATTCAAAACAAAGGGATAGTAAAATCCATTCCATTTTTTTTTTTTTTTTTACAAATGATGTGAACTGCCAAAAGAAACCCATCCCTTCGCACATCAAACGATTTCAAAGAACAATAGGTGAAGATTATTGTTGTTCTTAACCAATTTATGATTAATTTGTATTAATGGGTTTTTTTTTCCTCCTCTGATAAGGCATAATGATGAAAAAGCATTTACTTTAGAAACTTGATTTGATTATTATCAAACAATGAGAACGCCGGATTCTATCGAAAAATGACGCTTATTTTGTTATTATTAATGATCCCGTTTTGAATTCATTACAAAAAAAAAAAAAAAAAAAAGGTTCATTAACCATTCAACTGATCAAAGAATTCCTTTGATGATACACAAGAATGACATATAATCGATGTGAATAATCTGTGTAAAGGACGTGAAAAAAAAAATAAGAGGTTGAACTACAAAAATAAAACCATCTCCAAAACAAAACAAAAAAAAAAAATCATGGGAACTTTCTCTTTTTCATGATCACAACATAAAATTATAAGGTAATAAGGCTAATTGACTTTACTTTATTTATTTTTTTTGAAAATTAAATGTTTAACGTTAACCAATTTCAAATAATATAATCCATTGTTCTTGATCCCGTAACGATCATCTGTTTCCACATGTAAATTATTACTTTATATCAAACGATCCGGTTAAAAAAAAAAATAGAACCGTTATCAATTGTTATTTTCTTTTTACCTTTTTTTTTTTTTATTTTTTTAAATTGAAAACAAAAAAAAAAAGGAAAATGAAAAAAAAAAAAACGCAACATTTATTTCTTTGTGTAATCGTAAGAAATAGTTGCCACGCACGATGATCATTATGCAAGCTCAGATACATTCCAAGTTTCTAAATTACGATTGCTTCATTAGAAAAACATTATTAACTTTTTTAAACAAAAAAAAAAAAATCGGTGCATGATATCCACACGAAAACTCGCTACATACAGGAAAATGCATAAATAGTCATGTGTAAATCAATCTAAATTAGCCATTTTGACCAGCATTAAATTTTATTAACTTTGGGAGAAAATTTATTAATATAAAATAAAATGAGCGGGTGGATCAAAAGTATGGATTAGTTCATTTTTTGTCATTGTTAAAAAAAAATTCTAATAATTCCTGTAATGATCTAGTTTTTTGGGAAAAAAAAAAATTATATGTAACACTTCGAAACAATGGGCAAAAAAAATAATAAGAATAATAAAGATTCAAATCATATCATAATGCATTTTAAAACTTATTAGCATCCGTTCAATGAAATCAAATTCGAAAACAGTTTTTTTTTTTTTTTTTTTTGTTAAACGAAAAAAAAAAAAATAAATTTTTAAAGATGGCTCAAATAATTTAATTCAACCCGTTTTCGTAAAAAAAATGACTCCATTGTTTGTTTTGAACGGAAGTCGCGCGTGAAAATCAAAAGAAAATAGATTAGGAAAAATTTTATTTTCCTCTGGATAAAAAAAAAAATGAAAGAAAAAAAAGTAAGATTGAAAAAAATGGATAATTTTTTTTTTTCAGGTTACGCCGATTAGTGATTCGGCGTAAAAAAAGTTTATAACCATCATTAAAAAATTGGGTTTAATCATCATTGACGAATTTGTTTCATTGTTTAAAAAAAAATAATAATTAGTTATTCTAAACCTAAATTAATTCATTCTTGTGTGGATGAAACCTAAAAAAAAAGGAATAAAAAAATTAAAGATTGACTGTCTCGTGTGACAAGAATTCGTTCATAATAAATTCAAACTTTAGGTGGATTTAAAGCCACACATTTTCGCAACCCGTCTTCAAGAAAAAATTAGCCGGTTACTTTCTATCTGGATTGTCTTACACATTGTTCTCAAATTTAGTCATCTGAACTTGCCAAAACATTCAAAAAAAGGTTACCCAGATCTGATTAATAAAATCCATGGGTAACCATTTTTTTCTCATATACAGTATCTAATCTATTATGAATGTAAAGCATGTGCAGAATATTGTTCTTTTATTATTAATGAAGAAGATTAGTTCATCATAATGTAAACAATGTCAAATTTCAACAATTATGAAATAATGAAACAAATTCTTTAAAGGAAATAATTTGTCTATAATAAAAAACTCCCGAATTACTTTTTTTTTTCATATGGAACGAAAAAAAAAAAATAATTATCCCATTTTGGGATAGGTGATCTTTTACAATTACAATATATTTACCAAAAAGTTCACCTAAAACACAAATGAAAGAAAGATGATGATATAATCCAATACAGGTTAAATTGAACAAGTAACCTTACAAGTTTATTATTCGTAATAAAATAAATTTTGTCACCGAATATTCTGTTCTTACTGCTAACGCAATTACACGCGAAAGTTGATATTCGCCGATGAGAGATTATATAATAATCATTTTTTTTTTTTTTTTTTTTTTTTATATGTAATATATAAAATAAATAATAAGTAATAACATTTTTCGGAACATCCCCGCAAACTGGTGACATTAATTATAAAGTTCACAAAAAAAAAAAAATGATTTAATTATATATTATTAATTTTTTTTATTATTTTTTATTTCTCAAGAATAAATACACAGATTATTAAAATAAAGAAAAAAAGGGGATTTTTTTTTTACGTGGAAAACTTTTTTGACGAAAAAAAAAAAAATGGATACC